TGAATAACAACATGTCAATTTCCAAAAATAATTCAATTGATATTTTTGTCATTTTTAAGGCAGCAGCATATGAAAGACCAGGACAAGTCATATAATGTGGTGGGTCGATCCCAAAATCATCGATACTTGTTTTTCGAAAGTTTTCAAATACTGCAGCGAGCATCAAAACATCAAGTCTCAAGTAAATATCAATCAATTGTCCAAGATTTCGACAGTTAAATTGTCTCCAAATTCTTTTTAATCGGTCATACATTTCTTGTGAAATGTTTGTGTCGTTTAATGATGAGTAAAATGCAGACATTGGTGGTAATGCTTGATCCTCAAATTTATCAAGGGATGATAAATATTCATAAGGTATTGATGCTTTTCCCATCAAATCGGTTAAATCATGCCCAGGCCATTCTTGTCGTAAAAATTCTTCTTTTTCAGTGTTTGACAAGTTGGAGCTTAGAGTATCGAGACTTCCAGGTAAAAAGGCAAATGAGTCGAGAAAAGCAAGATTATCGACATACCATCCAATATACTTTTCCATTGATGAAGGAATAAGTTTTACATTTCCTGTAAATGTATTACTTTTGATTGAATCAATCAATAAATGACCATCATAATTCTTTAAATTATGGAAAAATATTGGAATTCGATTCGGAATTGAATAATTTACATTACAGGCATTATGTGCTGCGCCTCTAAATTTCCCAGTTAAATGATCATGATCACGGACTCTGTCATCATCAAGAGGCTTTTCACAAATCCAGCAGTTTGTTGTACTTTGAAATGTTGCTTCTTCATTAGGTGACATTTTAAGAGGTTTTAATGAGGTTTTTAAATAGTTGAGAGCACTCTCAATTGATTGTTTAAGATTAATTAGAAATTTAGAGACAATATTTTCTCCATGGTCAAACTTTTTGTCGATGATTTTTCTGTCCCAATCAACAACAATATATCCATAACTACATGGTTCATGGTGGAAAGGTTTCAATGGATCATTTGTTGGGAGGATTAAACATTCAAAGTCACAGTAAATTATGATTGGATGCTTAATTTCTTTTTTCAGGTTTGATCTTTCGCAGAAATTCCGTCTTGGTTTATAAGGTGTAGGGTAAGGCATTACAATTTTTTGTGCGGGTTTTGCTGAACAGTCAATCATGTGTTTTTTTAATTGAAATTCATAATGCCAGCCGTTCAAACATCTTTCACAATGATATCGCCGGTAATTACTTTTTGAATTTAATAGGCGAGCAAAGTTTGTGATTAAATAATAGTGTTCGTTGTATAAAAATAGTCTGACATGAGATGTGAATTGATTCTTTGTAACATAAAGGGGAATCACAAATTTGTTGGTTGTGTTGTAAGTAAAAACACTAATTGATATTGCGTTTTTCTTTTCAAAGGATTCAACCATGTTCAATTCAACTTGACCTCGCCATTTTGAAAAGTCATGTGAGTTGATAAATTGGTCATATTGTTGATAATTGTCGGGATGATTTTGTCTATGATGAAGAGCAGCTAAAATTGAATACATAAAGCAATCAGTTTGACATTTGATTGAAAGTAAACAATGTTTTGAGAGAAGTTCAGTAGGCAATTTATTCTGATGACAGCCTCCTCGATGAGGTTGATAATGAGCAATCCAAACATCAATTTTGCTGATATCAACAATCGTAAAGCCACTTCCTCGTTCAGTGTATTGATCTATTATTTCTTTCATCTCCGTGAAAGTTTCTTCAATTTCATTATTGATATTATCACCAGGTAATAATGGTTTCATCGTTGAAGGTATTTCTGCTTCAATCAATTCAATCATGCTCATTTTTTGAAAGAAAACTTTTAAAATCAAGTAGAATTTAATTGGTCCAAGATCATCAAGATTATGTTGTAGCAAATCCTTCACTTTAGCTTTTTGATGACGTTTCACAATGTCAATGTCAACCATATCACTCATTTGTTGTGAAAAAACACGGAAACGGCGGCGAAAAGCTGAATGAATTAGTTTGAATGGAGATGAAAAAGAAGGATTACGTGGGTTAAGTAAAGAAATACTCCCACAAACTCTTTGATGTGATCTCAATCTTTGTTCGTTTGAATAGTGTCTTCTGCACTTTGCACATTTCACTTTTCTTTTCATCTCTTTTGGAGTTGCTCTTGTTGATGGTGCATCTTGTATTACAGGCTCTTTATCAAAGAATATTTCCATTCTTCGGCAATTTTCTTTGCAAGAGCAATGATGAAGTAAATATTCACTTAAAGGTTCACTTTCTTTCCCACAGCATGGGCACCTCAAGCAATCTTTTTTTGGTGGTGGTTCGTCAAAAAAGATGTCCATTCTTTTACAATTGTCTTGGCAGGAGCAAATATGGTTCAAATATTCCATTAAAAGTTGAGTGGAGGTACCACAACAAGGGCAACTGAGACAATCTGGTTGCTCTTCATTTTGTTGTGTATTTTGTTGCTCATTTGGTCTCTCATTTTGTTGCTCATTTAGTCCCTCATTTGATTCTTCATTGAAAATTTCAAACATTTTACAGTTTGCCGATTTACATTGACAAGGGTGGTTTAATAACTCTCCCAAGGTTATAAATTTTTGCTTGCAGCATTTGCACTCAATCTATGAAAAAGATAACTTATATATTAATTTCCGAATAAAATAGACGTTTAAATTGAAATTGAAATGAATCTTTATTGATTTTGAAAAGAAATTAAGATTTTACAATTTTATAATATCTTTTGATTGTGCGTTTGACTGTCCAAACATGGCAGTCAATTAGCTCACAAATATTACGAGCGTGCTCGTTATCAAGGCGAGATAAAACTCTTCGCTGTGCTTTGAGTTTATTAAGGTCCTCCATATATTTGAAGGCCTTGTTTCTCAATCTAATTTGCAATCTTTTTCGGATTGCGTTTGGGGCCTTTTTCTTAGTTTCCTCTAAGGAAACCTGCTCCATATGTTTAATCATGGAGTTGAGGTTTTTTTCATCAAAAGAGCTAAAAGAAAAGCCCGCAAAACGAGCGGCAATCTCCTGAAAAGAAAGAGAAAGGAAAGTTGAGAAGAGAGCAAAGGTTGAAGAGTATAACAAGTTGAAACTTACGTTCATTTCCACGTCGTTTTCTTGGTTATTATCCATTTGATAATCCATTTTAGTGATAACTTAAAAGTAATAGCAAAGGACTTGAAATTAAAGTTTACTTATTGAGAGTTGATGTAAAAGTGACCAAGTTTTGTCAATGTACACTTTGAATAAAGCTTGAACATCTGTGTAATGGAGTGAGTTTTTGCTCATTGATTAGTCCATAAATGAATTAACGGATATTTTGTCAATAAATTTGTCGCACATGAATTGATTCTTGACCATTAAATTATGCTCAATGTTTTTAATTCTTGACCGTTTGAAACACTTGAGTGTTTGTTATTGTTTGTGATCACTTTGGAAATATTGAGTTAATAGTAAAGGAACCTATTGTGTTTAGAATTCGGCTTGTTCATGATATCTCCATGATAATGATATTTGTCATTCACTTCTCAAGTATTATGATAGATTTCGATAGTATCTATCGAATGAATATATTCTAATTCATTTCCGATGACTTTAGAGTAAATGATTGGGTGATCATAATTTCAGCCGATAATTTCGGCTCAGAATTCAGAATTCATGATAGAATTGAGTTGGATACTTTTTTGCTTTTGAATATGATGAATCAACATAAATGAATCAATTTGATGTTTGAATCATCTTTCTAGCCGGTCAAATAAGCTTGTTATTGATAGTAAGCCATTTTCAGAATTTCCATGATATCTCCATGATAATGATATTTGTCATTCACTTCTCAAGTATTATGATAGATTTTGATAGTATCTATCATATAAAATCATGCTTAAGCATTTGATATCAGTTCAATTGGGGAAAACAGCAAAAATCAGGTCTCAAAGTTAAACATCCCCCGAAACATCCCCCGAGAATGAAGAAAAACATCATTGAAAAGTATGCATCCGAGAAACAAACTATTAATGTCTATCTAATTATTACATTTTTAAGTGTATGTAATTAGTTTAAAGTGAAGAATTTCAAACATCCCTGAAGACAAAAAAACATGAAAACTAATATATTTTTAAAATTTTTTATTCAAAAATGTATTAAATTTTAATACATGAAAATCATGCTGTTCTAACATGAATTGGTTTTAATGATGCTGGCTTTTCCAGATCTGGCTCTTTCTCCTTACGCTTGGCGCAAGTAGCAGGTCTATTTTATCGCCATTGATATGGCGAAGGCAATGGTCACTTCTTCCTGGAGTGAACTCGATGAAACAATAAGGGCAAGAGAAAACTTTTTTTCCTTTATTTTGTTTTTTCCTTTCAAGAGTTTTCTTCGCAAGCTCCTTGATGGTGAAAATTTCAGGGTCCCGCGGCTTTATTGGTAATTCAATATCATCATCACCCATATTATATTCGCTGCTTTTGCTGTACCATGCTGATTTCACAGCGATATATGGTTCACCATCAATTTCAGCAATGTGGTCAGCTTCCACCTCATAATCAATCTGATCATATTTTACCAGTGATGGAGTGGGTTTAGGTGAATAGGGCTGGACAACTTGTCGTTTAGCTCTTTTCTAGATACACAAAGAAAAAATAAACGAAACATTAGTAATAATGTTAAAACATATATATGTTTCTACTTACGTTGGGCGCCATTATAAAAGATTAACAATTGAAATTGATGCAATGAATTTAAAACACAAATTAATTTTCAGTTGGTTTAAGTTAACTTAACCTGCTTTTACCTGTCTTATTCGGGTTAAAAACATATGACATTGTGTTGCTATGCAACGGAAAAGTGGCCTGTAAGTGAACTCAATAGCGGGTAATTCAAGTGTGAAAAGCCGTTTTTAAATCATTCAAGCGTAAATTCAATAGACCATGAAACTAATCATGCATGAGGGGGGTGGTGGGTAATTCTGTTTCCGGTCTGGGCCTCAGAAGCGTATGAAACGGTACTACTAATGTGCGACCAATGGGGTGATCAATGTAATGCTCATCGACTTCTTGAATCTATTGGAATGAATGATTCTTCGCCATTCGGGATAAATTTTCATTATTTTCCTGATTCAGTTGCAACATCAATCTCACCCCTTCAGCTTTCATCAACTCAATGTTTTGAGCGTCCTGGAGTTCCTAATAAAACTGCCTGCTCATGTTCAGATTGTCCAACTGTTTGTAAACCTTTACCTCGGCCCGAAGCTCATGAAAGATTTTGCATTTTGGGTACAGATGGTATGACCATTGTAATGTCCTGTGTGTTCATAATTACAACGACAGCATTTACTATTTATTACACTTATTATCAACGAAAAACAAATTTTATCAAAGGTAAAGTGCCTTCTAATAATTTACTTTAACCCAATCAGTTGAATCAAAATCATTCTGAACACTATTCCCTAACCTCTCTATTTCAATACACTATCATAATCTTACTCAAAGAACTTTATTCTAATTATGCAATTAATTTCAGATGAAACCATGGTTAACTTGAAATCATCAACAGTGTCCAATAAAGGAATTGGCTCAAGATTAGAAAAGTTTCTTGAACATAGTTTCAGGCAATGGGGATACATCGTTACATCTAGACCCACTTTGACCATAATTATTGGAGCTGTTTCGATTTTAATAACAGGTTTTGAATTTGCTAACATTTCTTCCAGAATAACTTCAGATCCAGTTGAATTGTGGAGTTCACCCGAAAGTCATGCTCGTCAAGATAAATTGTTTTTCGATACAAATTTCGGACCATTTTATCGAGTTAATCAATTGATTATCAAGAAAACAACGAATGAACCTAACTTCGATTATTATGCAAATGACAAGAATTATTTATTCAACCCAATATTTGACAAGGAATTTTTATTGAAGACTCTTGAACTGCAGAGAGAACTAACATCACTTAAAGCCGTTTTAGATGGTCAAACAGTTGAATTGACTGATATCTGTTTCAGTCCTCTAGCCAATGGTAAATGTGCTGTTCAAAGTGTCATTGGTTGGTTCCAAACTAACGTTACTCGGCTCGAAGATGATCCTGTTACAAACTATTCTTATCTTGATCACATTATTTCTTGTCTTGGTAACCCATTTGCTCCTGATGATAATTTGAAGCCATTTCACTATCCTTGTTTGGGTGAATATGGAGGCCCAGCTTTACCTAAAGTTGCACTAGGAGGTTTCAATATCGCTGATTCCCAAAAAGATGCTGCTGATGCTTATACTCAGGCAACATCACTTGTGATTACAATTTTGATCAATAATCATGCCGATAAGAGTCAAAATAAAAAAGCAGAAGCGTGGGAACAAGTGTTTTTGGATTACTTGCATTCATTCAATCATACTAGATTTCCTGATTTTGATATTGCTTATTTTTCAGAGGTAAGCGATTCTCCATTTTCAAGACTTCATTTATTCATATTGTTTGTAACAATTTTGGCCATTTTATAACATTTATTAATAATAATCATTTGGTCGACAATAATTTCCACTAAATTAACTAAACTTAGTTTAATAATAATAATCATTAAGTACTAAGTTCAATTAACCAAGCACTAGTTCCAGTCATTTTCAAGTTACCACATTGGGGTCTAAATTTAAACTCCACTCAATAATCCATTTGTTGAAACAAAGAGTTTGTTTTGCCCTTCTGAACGTTGTTAAGAATAAGAAATGTATTTGTCAAGACAGGGAATTAGACAGAATAAAGAACGAGGAGAATAATTTTGACCATTTCTCTTTCTCAATTTAAGCACTTAATTTTTAAATGTTACATATTATTTAATAATAATCCATTTATTTTTTTCCAATGCTTCCAAAAAGAGATCAGTGCAAGATGAAATCAATCGTCAAAGCTTACACGATGTATTACTTATCATTGCGAGTTACCTGATAATGTTTGCTTATGTATCTTTGACTTTGGGTAGAATCTCTCGAAAAAGTGATTTTTTTGTTCACTCAAAAATTAGTTTGGGTCTCATCGGTATAACAATCGTTATTGCCAGCGTTATATCATCTATTGGTTTGATGATTCTTCTAGGGTTTAATTTAACCCTTATCATTGTAGAGGTTATTCCCTTTTTGGTTTTGGCTGTTGGAGTAAATATTTTCATTCTCGCTCAACACATACACGTAAAAATTATTCAAAAATCAAAATTAATCAAAAATTAATGAAAATTTATTTTTCCTTTCTTTTTTCATTGATAGCGTTATAATCCTAAACAAAATGAGTCTTCTGAAGATCAAGTAGCTAAGGTTTTGGGAAAATGTGGACCATCTATTCTTATGGCTTTTTCCTGCGAAGTTACATGTTTCTTTATCGGAGCTTTATCAACTGTGCCCGCTATCAGAATGTTTGCATTGAATGCTGCTTTAGCTCTTCTAATCGGCTTTTTACTACAAATGAGTGTCTTCATTGCTGTTTTATATCTTGATTTGGAGAGACAAAAATCATCTAGATTTGATATTCTATGTTGCTTCAAATCATCTAAAGCCAACGATCCTGATCCAATTGATGATATTGAAGTTGGATTACTTCACAAAAATTTTAGAGATCATTATGCACCATTCCTCATGAAAGACAAAGTTCGTTTATTTATATCCATTGGTTTTACTCTTTGGGTTTGCTCTTCTATTGCTGTCGTAAACAAAATTGAAATTGGTTTGGACCAAGAACTATCAATGCCTCATGATTCTTACGTCCTTAAATATTTCAAAGCCCAGAAAAATGATTTACGCGTCGGACCTCCTGTTTATTTTGTTGTTGGTGGCAAATTTGATTATTCTGATAACTTTCATCAACAAGTTATATGTGGAACCAGTTACTGTAGCGAAAATTCCCTTTTTAATCAAATCAGTCAAGCATCTCACGAACCCGAATCTAGTTACATTGTTGACTCTCCTGCCTCATGGCTTGATGATTACTTCGATTGGGCTGTAACATCATCTTGTTGCCGACTTTTCAAAAATGATACAAATCGCTTCTGTCCATCTACATTAACAGATATTAACCGAAACAATGAATGCAAGAAATGTCAGATTGAAGGCGATGATGAAATGATAAAGTCTACTCAATTTTACAAGTTTCTACCTGATTATCTATCAGATATACCAACTACATCTTGCCCTAAAGCTGGCCGTGCTGCTTATGGATCTTCTGTAAAATTAGATGAAAATAATAATGTATTGGCTAGTCACTATAGTTCCTATCATTCACCTCTAGTCAAATCAAGTGATTTTATCGAAGCAATGAAAAGTGCTCGTTTCTTAGCATCAAATATTGAACGAGCAATATCAACTGCTCTAAAGCCAGGCGAAGAAGTTAAAGTATTTCCATATTCTCTTGTCTACGTTTATTACGAGCAATACCTTACTATCTATGGTGATTCCATCCGAAGTCTTGCTTTATCAATTACAGCTATTTTCTTGGTATCCTTTGTTTTATATGGATTTGATATTCGAGCATCACTGATTGTCGTTTTCACCATTATATGTATCGTAATCAATCTTATGGGAATGATGTATTGGTGGGACATTTCACTGAATGCCTTGTCTTTGGGAAATCTCGTTATGGCTTCTGGTATTTCAGTTGAATTTTGTTCACATATAACTCATGCTTACCTAATGAGTAATGACGCAAGTCGTGTTAAACGATCACAAGAAGCATTGGCTACAATGGGTTCATCTGTTTTATCTGGAATCACATTGACTAAATTTGCAGGTGTTGTGGTATTAGCCTGGGCAACATCACAAATTTTTGTTGTATTTTATTTTCGAATGTATTTCGGTATCGTTATTATTGGAGCTCTTCATGGTCTTGTTTTACTACCAGTACTGTTGAGTGTATTTGGAGGTAAACCAAAGCTGAGCAGTTCATTTCCAAATGAAATTTAATCATGATTTTTTTATTGAATTAAACATATTTTCAACTGGTGTGATTATATTATAATATGCTCTTGATTATAATCTCTCTTTTTACTTTCATTGAGCATAGACAAATTAAGAGTTTCATTGTCCCAGAATCAAATAACCAATAGCATAAAACTATTCGCCATCGGAAATATGAGAATTAGAAATATTTAATTACTCAAATAAACTAAACAAATCAGTATCTTTCATTCAGAATCAAATGATGAAAATGTAATAATTTATTATTATTAAATAATCCCATTGTTATCAGTGTTTTCAGCTCTATTTTATGATAAACTCGATCTAAAAATTATGCTGATAGTAACATGAAAGGATTTTTAATTGCACATAACATAGATTAAAAAGCAACAATAAAACAATGAATCAGAACAAAATGATGATAATGTTGAAATACCAACTGAGCTGCTTAAGCCAGCCATTTATAGTTCCATATCAGGTTAAGCTGACGTTATGCTTGTACAAGAAGTAAATTCTTGACCTAATGTTTATCATGTATCACTTTCATCTTGCAATTAATTTTGATAAATTGTAACCAAACAATATGATTTATGTCGACTTGACATTTTTTTAGTGAATTTATGCTCAAAATTGCCGGTTTCCTTATTAATGCTAGATTTACATTTCATAGATACCATGAGATGTCGCCACTTGAAATGAAATGTAAATCTCTGGAATTATTTGCATTTTCATCTAATGTAGTTAATTTCAGGAAATAATTTTTTTTTCAAACTGTGAAGTAACGGCAACAAATAATTAACTTACATTTTTACTTCATTGAATTTTAAAATGGCTGATCAAAATCAAAATGAACATGAGTTGTCATTTGAGGCTCACAACGATGTTGCTAAACTTGTCATCTGTGTAGTTAAACATCCGTTTGATTTAGCCAAGACTCTTATTCAAATTGGATATGAACCTTTACCATCTTTTCCAACTCGTAACATTTTTGGACGACCTAAAATTGGACTTCCCGGTGCATTATCTTACCTTGGCTTTGTTTTCAGACACGAAGGGGTCACAGGAATATTTAGAGGTCTCCCTTACAATGTCATCGATTATTTCAGTTATAGATATACTTACAATTATATTGAAAAAAACGTTGGTAAATACTGTCCTTACTTGCAGGTAATGTATTTTTTTTATTTTTGCAATCCTTCATCAATATTTCTCAACTAAAGTGTTTTTCCATTATTGACAGATTACCACTCCAGATTTATCCGAGGATAGTGCCGAGGTGACTACAACTGATATCACAGCACCCAATTTAATTATAAACTGCATAAGATGGACGAGACAAATGTTCCCATTGACTTTTCAGTA